AGAAGGAAAAGTAGCAGTGGACTACAGAAAGAGCTAAGAGGAGAGGAAAAGCAGACCGAAGCAGAGAGCCAAACAACAAACGTCCCGCAGGGAATGTGCAGCTTGCTGTCTGAGGTCCAGGACGCATGGTCTTTTACTTCATTTTCGCCGGTTCCCAGAGGAAGGCCCTGTGTTGACAGTGATCCAGTGCATAAATGGACAGAGCTGCCCAGCTTTCTCTTTTCCTAAGTGAATGTGGGTTGAAGACCTTCATCTTCAGGTTCTATGTGCCGTAGACCACACAGGCATGCAGATGTGAATATGACTAACTGAAAGGGGGTGGGCACGGTCACGAGTGGGGAAGAGAGAGAACTGTTTCCTTTAGTACAAGAAGAAACGCGTCTCCTCTAGATGTGGAGAGAGAAACAGACAGCTGCAGTCATTTCTCCTTTCAACATCTGTAACAAGCCACGGTGTACACTCCAAAGCAGTGAAAATGATGAGCCTATTGCAGGACGAGGTTCTAAGAAAGCAGAGTGACACAGGATTATTGCCCCATCAGAGGACCTACCTGCAAGAGCCGACTCCACACCTGCTTACGATACTGAAGCAATAGCCTATGCATCACCTTGCTCTTATACATTTAATTCAGCCTGAACTCGGAGACGCTTCCCTTCCAGACCTGTATGATGCACAATGGAGTAAATGTTACAGACAAGGGTGGTTGGCAGGGTCTGGGTGACAGATTCCTGACAGATCATGATAAGACAGGCTGCCTGGGTAGAAATTACAATCTTGTCATTTACTAGTGTAAAAAAACTATTACAAAAATAATACTTACCGTCAGCTAAGGATGCAGCTCAGTACTTGCTTGGTATGCATGAAGCCCTGCATTGATTTAGTAGTGACTTGGTAAGGGAGGTGTTTATGCCTGTAATCTCAGCCCTTTGGTGTTGGAGCTTACTTCAGAATCAGTAGTTCAAGGGCATCTGTGTCTACACACTCAGTCTGCAGGCAGACTAAGCTATATGAGACCCTGTCTCAAAACAAAACAAAACATGAGAGAACAAACAACAAGTTATCTTAGGAGAATTAAGTGAGCTATTCAATAGGAAGGTCCCTGCATACTGAAATTGTTTGTGAAGTGTTTCAGTTTCAAATGACTCCCATGCATGAGTCCGAAGTATGGGAGACAAGAATGGAATGTCGTGTGTGGTTGGGCCATAGGGTGCTGTCAGCAATCAAGCTTTTTTGGCTTATAAAAATAGAGGTTGTCAAGTATTATATTCCCACTAAAAGCTGTTTTTTATTTCACATTTTGTCCATTTTTCAAGGGTTAGAAGAGGGCAAAGGAAGGGGAGGGGAAGGAAGAGACATCTGGAGACAGAAGGAGCAGCAAGGCGGAGGCCCATGCGCATGGCGTCTGGGACCCTGTGCTGACTGGAAGCTGAGCTGTGATCAGTCCTGTCCCTGCCGTCCGCGCATCCTGTGGTAATCTTTCCAACATTTCCTAGGTTTCCTGAGGTGAGGGTGTGGCATACATTTTCTTGTGCTAGAAGTGACAAACGCCTCCCTGGAGAAGAACCCAACTATTAAACAGAGCCGGCATCTCCTAAAGAGGCACAGGTCCGTAGCCAAACCACCCTGGGTATGGCGGATCTAGTAAGCAAGGACGCAGGGTCAAAGGCAAGGAGAAAGGCAGTGGTATGAGGAAGTTGAGACCTGAGGGTGGATGCTTCCAGAGCGGCAGGGCAGAGGGTCCTTCCTCGTCTGTGGAGAGGACCACACTTTTCCCTAGAGCAGCGACTTTCTTCGCCACAGTGTACTCTGTCTGTCTCATCTCTGGAAACAGAACCAGACTGAGAAGCCAGGGAAAATGGATACAGAGTACACTCAACCACTGTAAGTGCTAGGTTTGTCCTCAAAGAACCAACCATTGTAAGACTTTAGAGTAGGAGGTGAGCGAAGGCCTAAGATGGGAATGTATCTACCTTTCTTAACTATCGTAACTTTCTCAGCCCGGGCTCCTCAAGCCATAGCCAGTGTGACTCTGGGAAGCTGGGGGTAGCTCATAGGGACTTGCCCCTGCTATTGTCAGGGCTCCAGCACCAGATGGCTGGGGGCACCTTCTACCTTCACCTTAAGAATTTAGTTAAGAGAAAAGGTCCATGGAATCAGAAAAGTTGATGACAATTAAATGATGAAAATCATTTTTTTTGATGAAGAAACCATACTTTTACCACCTAAAGGTTTATGATAAAACTGAGGAGTGGTGATCAGTGCCACAGAGTAGCCCTGAGGCCCAGGAACTGTGATGTACTATTAGGTATAGAATGCAACCCAATTGGTTTCAGAGAGGTTGGATTTTTTTGTTGTTGGTGGTGGTGGTGGGTTTTTTTTTTTTTTTTTTTTTTTCCTGATGCAGGATCTCACAAAGCCCAGTCTGGCCTTGAGTTGACTATGTAGTTGAAGATAACCTTGAGCTACTGATTCCTCCCTCCAGTTCCAGAATGTTGGGATTATAGACACAAACTACCACATCTGGTTTGTACAAGCATTTTGCCAACTAAGCTATATCCCTATATCTCTAAACACTTGTTTGAGAAAACACAGAGTTTAAAGTGTTCTCTATATCTCTGGCAAGTATATATGGCAAAAAATAGAATTGTTTCTGAAAGGCAATGGTGAATAGAGTTTATTTGGTACAATATCTTTCTTAAATTATAGCTAAATATTCTTTTTTGTTGTTGTTTTTTTTTTATTTTTGGCTTTGGAGGCTGCCCTGGAACTAGCTCTTGTAAACCAGGCTGGTCTCAAACTCACAGAGAAGCACAGGCCTCTGCCTCCTGAGTGCTGGCATTAAAGGTGTGTGCACCACCACCGCCGGGCTCTAAGTAAGTATTCTTAAGCTGTACCTAAGTAAGTAAAATGTAAGGGTGAGGTAATTTGTCATTTCTCCTTCCCATATTTCTATTCCAGCAAAAGGGAACATACCACCTGGAGAGTAGAACGGTCTTCCTATAGATACTAGGGCTTTTGATAGCTCTGAGGCTACAAAGACATGTGCCAATAACTTAACCATTGTGAAGACTTAAGGAACACACTAGAAAAATCCAGTAGCACCATCCAGTGAAGACTACTTTTTGGCACATTTCCTATAATGTAACTCTCAACAGTTAATGACAAACTCCAGCTCGTGAACACTATAACATTTGGAAATTGTTTTGCAAAATGTGCTAAAGTGTATGAAATTGCCATACATGGTAGTACGGGTTTTAATTAAAATCCTTTCCCTCATCTTCAGGCTATGTGTAATGTTTTGTATCAGGATTATTTTATTCCGAGTTACTAGATTTCTGGTTGCTACTGATCTTAAGAGAGACTAAGCAAGGGGTGGAGAGATGGTGCAGTGTCTGGTGGCTCTCTCTCTGGGAGAAAATCCCAAATCAGTTCCCAGCACCCTTGTCAGGTGGGTTAGGCCAGCTACAACTCCAGCTCCAGGGGATCTAACTCCTCTGGCATCTATGAGCATCTGTACTTACATACATATACCCACACACAGACACATATATGTAAGTTATAATGGAATATATATATATATATATATATATATTCATTAGAATGGAAATGTTGGAGCTGGTAGATCTGAACCCCGTCCCTCCAAACCCATTGGTGAGTGTTTGTGAATATGTAAATTGGAATTTTAAAAGCCCAGAGCAATAGGTTAAGTAAACAGCCGTTGCCTCAGATTAACAAACGCTAAACCACTATCAATGTAAAATGTTAATTGGTAGCTCTTTGTATCTCATTCTTGTCTGAAGGATTGAATGGCTCAGTGTCAAAACTGCTGCCTCTCCCCTCCTTACAGTGGTCCATGGCATTTGAACGCTTTACGAACATCCCCGCCCCCTCCCCCCCCACACTGGAATTGCCCCTGGATGAATTCATAGGGTAGTTTGATTGACAAACATCTCAGAGTCTGCTCACATTCCTCCCTGGAATAGTCACTTCCAAGAGAAAGAGGTGTGGCTTTGTGGTCTGGGAATGCTCAGCCAGGAACATGGAGTTCTCTTATTGGAATTAGTTTTGTTTGTTTAGTGTCTCGGACCGTACTAACAAATCCTTGTCAGGACTCAGTTTACCCAGTTTATAAATCAGGTTATAAATATCTGATTTACTGGGGGTATATTGAGTACTAATGAACAAATTAAATGTTTTGAGACAGAAAAATGATATGAGTATAACTGAGTTATTTTTATAAACTAGTTTTATGAAAAAAAATAGAACAGTTTTGTCTTTTGGAAAAATTACCCCTCCTCCCCAATTTCGACTTCATTGTTAAGATATTTTTATTTTTCTAGATATTTTCAATGTTAAATTTTTAAGTTAACATGTCAAGTTTTCTACATAATGCAAATAATTAAATTCATTATTAGTTGCATTTAAACATAAAGAGGTTGTCTCATTGTTCTATATAACACAAGGAAATCCTGGAGTTCTATGGATTGTGAGAAAGAAGACATTGTTAACCTTAATATTTTAGAGAAAATATCAATATAAGAGAAACATAAAGTAAAAACAGAGTTCCTAGAATAAGATTCAGTCTCCAGAAAGAAAATTGTGCAAATGTGCCCAAACAAAGAGGATATATGTGTAGGAACCTACTGATTATCACTGATCAGAAAGGATATGGCTTAAACAATTACCCTCTAAAGTAAAGACTCTGTTTGGGTGGCTAAGCTGGCCAGCATTTCCCTATTCAAATTCAAGTCTCCTAAAATTAACCAAGTACTCATGGGGTTTAAAAATCATCTTTCAAAGTGTATCGTGATACTCTGTACGTCATGAAGCTTTCAGTTTCCAATCTTTACTTCTTTCCTAAAAAATGAGAACAAGACACTAGATCTTCAACCCTGTATCTGGGATCTCAAGTTTGGCTCTGAATTCGTGTTTCAAATCTCATTAATTACAATATTGGTCCCAAGAGGCACAGCTGCAAAGAACACTCTTTGTACTCAAAATCACTTGAACAAGGGCACAGATGCATTTTATTTACATGCGTAAACATTAAGAGAGAAGTAGTGCAGTGATGGCTCAGGTAGCTGCTGAGAGGTTTTAATGATAATTGATTTGGTTACTTAAGCTCCGAGGTCACCGTATATAGGCATGTATACATATAAAAGTCACTTACATCTCTTGGATGCTAACACTTTTGTACTGGTAACTGGCATTAATTTGGCAAGTCTTGTACTAAGACCTTTTAACATTTTATTCTTCCAAGATATAATGACCAAATTGTTCTGAATCCTATATCTTATTGTGCAGCTCTGTTATTTAGTTTATAAATATCAGAAAACATGCCATTACCCACAGGACTTTCCTAATGTAACAAAGGTGGGTAAAAACCAATCAGATGAACGAATTACAGCAACAGACAGTAATGTCTCCAATTTTCCTTCTTCATTTTCTTTTCTCTTTAGGACACATCAAGGCAAGCTGCAACTCCTTTGTGGTCCTGTGTTATCAGAACATAACACACACGACCATACATTGCTATCCTGTTAACAACGCTTAGCGTGGAGGTAGAGTCAAGTACACTCTAAGGAAAACTGAGTGCCTTATAGGAGAAGGGTCATCTGCAATATACCACCACAGCCTAAAAGTCTTGCTTTAAGCTTGGATTGGCTGATTCGGTCATTCTGCAAGCAAATATGCACAGATAAGAGGATCTTAACACCAGTTTGTTCTTTGTTTTCACAGACCAAGCCCATTTTTGTTTTTCATGGGAAAGTTACCTGGCAAGGCTTTTTGTTTTTTCTTAAAGAGTGTCCTATGCCCCCCAAGTAACAGCACACTTGGCCAATGATGGCCTCTATCTTTTATTCTTGACATAGGTGGTGACTGCATTTCAGTATGATACAATAGTCTAACTGGCAGGAAATAGAAGAGACAAGGTTAGGGACATAGGTCCTTGTGAGGCTCACCACCTTTTTTTAGTAAAATGTTTTGACATAGTTGTGGACCTAAAAGTAGTTCAGCAGTTGCCAGAGGTCTCTTCCTGACCATATCTGGGCAACATCATATATGCAGTGTTGTATGGGTAACAGAGCCTTGAGAGGGTAAACATTTTCTGGGGTAAAGCTGATAGAAGATAATTGGATAACAATTCCACAAGCTAGCTTTGGAGGCAGTGTTTGCAAATGGCAGCAACTTTATACACATCTGAGCCTTTGGATCAAGTTTTTTTGTCAGAGAGGATTGCTGGCTGGCCCAGTCTCGTTTCTCCCAGTTCTTCCCAGTCCACGAATGTAATGTTCCCAACACTGAATCTCTGTAGGTTATTAGAACCAGAGGGGAGAACTTGCAAGCCGTATCTCAGCCACCACTGTGGGGCATGTGAAACAGAAAGGGAAATTTTAGAGTTTGAAATGGCAAATTCTCTTTGGAATTAGTCTAGTTAAGCCAATGTCACCTTTTATACTTTATATAACTTCTTTTACTGACTTCTTGTTCGTTCTATAGAAATGTATGTTTTTAAAAGCCATGTCTACTCTCTATTATTTTTGCCATGATCATGCCCTGTCCATTTAACTGTTTCTTCTAATCTACTCTCTCTTTATAGTTTGCTTTCCCCATCGGCTTCCTTAACAGCAGTGGAAGTCTGTCCTCTTCATCTCCCCGAGTCTCTGATTGATGTTTGGTGGCCAACCGGGTTTGATTCTCTTTCCCACTAACTGCCCTTCCTTAACCTTCTGCTGTTTTATTTCTGTCAGCTGCTATCAGAGCTCACCAACTCCATTTCTTTCCTTTCCATCTATCTCCGAATCTCCATATGCATTTTTATGATCCTACTGCTAAATGCTTAAAGCTGTGTGCAACAGAAAGGTATGCGTCCTCATTTGAATGCTATTTCCTTTCCCTTAGCATAACCGTTCCTCCTCCTCTATTCATCCTTTCCTGAGGTTTCCCTGTCCTACCCCAATGGCACCTCTCTTCCCCTGTCGCCTCCCATTTGAAGCCCATCTCTTCTCCCAACCCGATTTCCACCCTGTCTGATTTTACAGCCAAGGATCTCCGACAAAATAAAGGATGGAGTCTATCAGAAACCAGGTTGCCTGTGTCTTGAGAAACTTTTGCGCATTCATTGAAATGAGATTAGGGACTTGTATCCAAAAATATTCTCGAGTTTTCAGCTTTGGGCACAGCTTTGCACACCTTGAGCTTGGCGGCCTCTTCCGCCGGCCAAGTACAGGGACGTCTTCCAGGGCCTTCTCTGATTCTTTCCAGTCCAGGGGTCAGACTGAAATGACATTGCCCACCCAAACTGTTAAAACTGGCCTAGAGGAGACTGCCTGGGCCCCGGGTCTGCCGCAGACCTGGGCAGAGTCCGGACGAGGAAGGGACCCAGGCCTGGCGCGGGCCACGGTGGTCCCAGGGGTCGGTCGCTCGGCCTCTTTGGGGGTGTGCTGCCCTCAAGAAAGGAGGCCGACATTAGGCAGGGTGCTCTCTTGGGACACAGGGCTCGCTTCAGCCGGCGACACCGCCAGGGCGGGCGATCGGGGTGCAGTGCGTCCCCGGGCAGGGAGGGGAGCCTCTCAGTCCCTCGGCCACAAGGTCGAGGCTTCGGAGCGGGCGCCCCCGGCCTGCTGGCCCTCGGGGAGCGGGGCGGGAGGCGACACCTGGAGAGTGGGGATGAGGTCGATCCGGGGTACCCGCGCGGGGTGTCAGGCCGGAGGGGAGCGGGAGAGGAGCCTGGAGACCTCCCCCCGGGCTGGGGCCGCGGGCCGGGGCTGTCTGCGGACTCGCGGGGCGCCCCGGAGTCTGGGGCCGCGGCGACTCCCGTTCCGCAGTCGCAGCCAGGCACTCCAGGCCGCACTTTCCCCTCCTCCCCGCGCCTTCTCTCCAGTGAGGAGCCGGGCGCGGGCGGCGCGGGGGGCGGGGCGGCGGCGGAGGGAACAGCCAGTTGTTTAAAATCCTTCTAGAGCAGTTTCTAATTCCCCCCTAGCGCCCGGGTTCGGAGGGGGAGGGGGGGAGGAGAGCGGGAGGGGAGGGAGCTCGGCGGAGAGGGAAGGAGGGAGGGATGGGAGGGAGGGAGCCGGCGAGGGAGGGAGGGCGGGAGGGAGGAGACTGCCGCTAAGGCCGAGCCGCCGCCGCCGCCGCGCGCTCCGGCAGGCCGGAGGGAGGGGGAGGCCTGTCAGTCTCGCGCGTTGCCAGGGCGAGGAGGGCGGAGCTCTGGCGTGGGGCGGCCAATGGTGGGGGTGGCTGCGTGGGTCGCCATGGGGACGGGGCTGTTCCCGGGGAGGCTGTGATGGGTTGACAGGTGCGTGACAGTGGGAGCTGCTCTCGGCACAAGCATGTACGGCAAAGGCAAGAGTAACAGCAGCGCCGTCCCGTCCGACAGCCAGGCCCGGGAGAAGTGAGTGTCTCCGCGCCGCCGCAGCCTCCTCCGCCGTCGCACGCGCGCACACTCGCGCACGCACTCGCACTCCCCGGGAGCCGCAGCCCCACGGCCGCCCTGCCCGGGGGGGAGTGTGGTGGGGAGCGCCGGGAGGGGGGCGGGTGGGCTGCGGAGGGAGGCGCGGGGCCCGGGGCGCGCGGCTCCGGGGAGCGGCCGCCTCCACGGGGAGCCCCCGGCGGGTGGCGGCGGGCGGCGGGAGGGACGCGCGTGGCGGGGGGCGGCGGCGGCGGCGGGGATGGAAACTTGTTTGGGTGGTTGAGGGGAACCACCCGCGGCTTCGCCTCCTCGCAAAGTAACTTTGGAGCTGCGGTCCAGGACCGCGGGGCCGCTGCGCGCGGCGGGCCGGGCGGTGAGGGGGGTTGGTGGGAGGGAGCGGGCTGCGCGATGCTGGGGTCCGGCGGGACCGCGGCGGGGCTCCCCGAGCGTGGGGCGAGGAGAGGGCGGCGGGCCGGGCGGGCGGAAGCGGGGCCCCCGCGGGGTGCGGAGGGCAAGTGCGGGCGTGGGCCGGGCGGGCTCAGGGACGCGGGTCCGCGGGTTCCCCCGGCGCAGGGAGGCAGGCAGGCAGGCAGGCCGGGCGAGCCGGCCCGGGGCGGCGGGGGAAGTTTGGGAGTGGGAGCGCCGAGTTCCCGGAGGGGGAAAGTGTGCTGGCCCGCGCGGGGTCGGCCGCGCGGGGTCGGCGCTCCTGCCTCTCGCCGCACACACACACCGGCTCGGCGGCGGCCCCAGAACTTTTTGAGACTTGCCGTGTCCCCGGGGGCGGTGGCCGCGGGCGCGGAGGGCAGGTCCCGTGGGCCGTGGCGGCGCCGCCGCGAGGAGGGCAGCAGCCCGCGGCGTGGACGCGGCGCGGGGCGGAAGGGGGCTGCGGCAGAGATGCTGGGTGCGAGCCGCTTGCCTGGGTCGTGGGAGATACAGGTGGGAACTTCGGTGGGAGCCGGGAGGACGCCGGGGAGCCGGGGTGCCACGGTCGCGGCACGCTGCGAAGCGGGCTTGTTGGCTGCTATTCTCGTGTACTTGTAACGGCGATTTGGTTGTTACTAAAATGAGAGCGAATAGTGACTGTGACACCGAGGAAGAGCACCCCCCCCCGTTTTCCTATGTGCAGGTGTTCAACTGGGTCCGTTCTAAGGGTCAGACTTATCCTTGTCATTGAACACACCATCATATTGAGGGGGTTCAGGCAGGGAGAGTCTTTCCCAGAGGTACTTTGGGTCCCTTGCATACAAAAATTGCTTCGTAAATAAAAACCTAATGTGTAGGCTACCGAGTTTCCCTCATTGCTTTAGGCAGTTAGTCTTACCCTTGAAAGTTTGTTGTGCCCTAGGGATGGGAACATTTTCTAATCTTCGTGTTGGTAACATTACACACAATTCCCATAGGATTTAGAGGTGGCAGGCCTTGATGTAGGAACACAAAACACAACAATAACAAAAAATTAATGGAGAGATGCTGTTGGTTCCTCCACCCCTGATATTTTTAAGATCTTGCTGTGACAAGGAGTATATAAAATGTATGGTATTGTTGCCAGGTTAAGAAACTGCAGTGTACTGGACTGGAGTTCTAAAATACTAGTTTACTTATTAATCCTTTATTTGGCTGTGATATATCTGATACAAACGTCTGAAAGAGGATGCTTTAATGTTTATGAAGTACCTGGATTTCACATTATGGGGAGTGAAGGAATTGTAGTGTATTAAAAACATCACCTTATTGGGCGGAGGTTGGTATTAAATTCGGTAGTAGTAATTTGGGTTTCAGCTAGACTCCCAGGAATGGCTGATATTCGTCTGAGTCGATTCTGTAGTCTCAATGAATTTAAAAAACAAAAGTAAAATTGTTCCTTAGTGCTGAGACAATAAGGAAGTTAGACTTGGTATGTTTGATCCTATCCAGTGCCTGTTCTATGATTCTGTTAGGAAAACAAGCTATTGCCACTCTTGGTCTCAGATCCGCCAGCTGAACACCAAGTAACATCAACTCTTAGGAGCAGAGTAACGAGGGCTCTGCTAGATGGTGCTGTTTGATTTAAATGTATTTCTTCCATTTAGTGCAGTTGGCAATAGGGATTCTTAACTGGCTTTGCCTTATGGACTAGCTAGCTGAAGAGGCCACCTTTGGAGAATTGACAGAGTTGCTCTGGGTTCATCGTTTCTGTATTAATTTCCAGCAGATCTAAGACAAATATTGAAGAGTATCCTATTCTTAGGGAATAAATGTCATTTTTGATGAGAGAGTTAATCGGATACTATTGTCTCTTGTGTGTTTACTGATTTCAGACAACTTGAAGTTGTCCTTAAAGATATGGCAACAGATGCTCGTTTTTAATTTTTAAGGTGGTAAGATTTAAGAGGTAACTGAAGGATAAAGAGTTCTCTAGTAAGCTACTTAAGACTGTTCCAGTCTTATAAAAATCACAAACAATTCATATTTCAGTAATAAGTATGAGTGCATTTTTATAAAACTGTTCTGAAAAATGAATTGTGAATAGTAGCAAACATGAAGTAAACATATTAGCTTTATAATTAAGAGCTGTGTTTTCTCACCCAGCTTCATAATGGAGAGCAGATAAGCATTTACCTGTCTGTATCAAGTCTTGGCTTTCTCTTTCAGTAAGAAGCCCCTATATAAAATATTTGAAGTTAATTTGTGACTTGTATGTTTCTAAAATTTTGTTTTGTAGTTCTGATCATAAATTGGCTAGGGTCAGGTTAGTTGTGTATTTTGTTGTTTTACCAAACAAACAGGTCAAGCCTACCCAAGGGTTTGCAGTAGATATGATTAGAGGGAGTGATTGAACAACCCTGGAGGAAGGCAGGACGTTTGCATAGAAATTTTAATTCTGGTCCTGTTAGATTATTGCCACTGGCTTAGTACTTTCCTTACAGCCCTGACCAAAATGATAGGTAAATAATTGTGTAATTAGTTGTTTGTATTTAGCTTTCCCTGTAGTGTACGTTTCTTTAGAATAAGGGACAATCGTTTTTAATTTCTTCTCTAAGCTGCCTTTGACATTAAGAACCCTGACTTTTAATACTAGAAGCACCAAACTTGTTGCTGATGAATATGCCAGACTTAAGGGAATCATTCCGATGTGAAGAGTTTTGCTGAAAGGACATACAAGGTTGAGTTCCATATCCTTTAGCCTAGTTTTATTTAAAAAGTATCCCCAAACAAGAATACAATAAAAGTAGCCATTGCTTTTTGCCATTGTGTGCCATCACTGTTGAGTTTCATGTTTCTTTTCTTTTCCCTCACATTTGTTGTTGTTCTTGCAATAATCCTGAAATATGGGTTGTTTTTTTTTCCTCCTCCACTGAAGTAACAAGGCACAATCCCTATCTGATTAAGTACCCAGGGATAAGATACTAAAAATTGGAAAGCTGTGTTTGGGACAAAGATTTCTCCAACTTTGGCACTTGCTTTTGAAACTGAAAGACACACATTCAGTGACCAGGTTACCTTCACTTTCTGGGAGGGTATCTCCCATTTAGGGAACTGTGTTACATAATCAAAACAGCCCAGATTTGGTCAGCTATTTAGTCTTAGCCGTTGCTGTCCCCCTATGCTCTCACTTTCTACACTGGCCGCTTGCAGATGTGTATGTGTGGGAGAAGGCAGAGACCTAAATAAAGAAGAATGCTCTGCCTTCAGATTTTCTTTCCAGAAATTTTGTTTGATCATTGAGAATTGTAAATTAAATACAATAATTGAGAGCAGTTTCTATATGGAATGTGTTTAACTTGAAACCACACTGTCAAGGAAATAGCGATGAGCCCATAAATACTATTTTTTGGGGGGGTAGAATACCATGTAGCTCAGATTAGCTTCACACTGTCTACTTAGCAAAGGGATGGCCTTGAACTTCTCACCCTCCTGCCTCCACCTCACAAGTACTGGAATTATAGGCGTGTATTACCCATTTTATGTGACCTCGGGATATAACCCAGGGCTAGGCAGCCACTCTACCAACTGATCTCCATCCTCGGTTCATAACGTGACATTTGTGATGACACTGAAAGAAGATTTGCTAGGAGTTGATGGTCCTGAGAAACAAGTAGTAAACAGTGACACTTGCCAAGTATTTATGACATTATAACATGGGACACTTAAAGGTAACTTTGATACTTAGATGTTGGTTCTTATATTTGAAAGTTTCAAATTTTTTTATTATATGCTCCTATTAAGTGGCTACAATCTGAAGAAGATTTAAGTGATTCTGAATATGAATTTTTAGGGATTAATACTGGCTGCCTGTCACCTTGTTCTCCTCTCTTTCATCCTTAAAACATCCCTACCATACAAAAATTATAAGTTTTCCTTTTGTTTCTGAAGGAAGTTAGGTGGGTGAAGTAATACAGATCTTGTTTGATGAACAGTTGACACAAGTTAAGATTTCTAGTTTATGACTTTTGCAGAGGGAGGTGCTGGGGGCCAAATCGATAGTTTTGTGCAGGCAAAGCACACACTGTCCGCTGATGACATCCTAGTCCACAGGATTTTAGGGCCAATGAGAGATCTTTATGGGAACAAAGGATACCAACTCTCCTCCCAGTTTCCAAGATGTTTCCTCTGAAATTCCAAGTAATTTGGCTCTGAAATGTCATTTTAGCTCAGAGAATTTTTTCTTTTGATTGATATCTTTTAATTTAGGAAAAGAATAAAATGCCCCCTCCTGAGTTTTAAAGCAATGACTCTTACAGAAGTTGAGATAGTTACAAGGTCTCACAATAACTCTGACTTGCCTGGAACTCAGAGATCCCCTCACCTCTGCATCCCAAGTGCTGGGATTGGGATTAATGTCGTGCACTACCATGTCTGGCAAGTCCTAGTATTTTTATGTAGGGATATGTAGAAATCCATTGTTATTCTTAGAAATAGTATTATAAATACTATGTACCTTAAGAGCTATCAAAAATGTAAAAGGTTTATTTTTATACTTTCAAAGCCACTTTGCCCACAAA